TGAAGGTGGGTGGAGAGACAGCGAAAGTCCTGGGACTGTCAGGGGTCACGCAAGATCCGGACAAGGTGGAAGGAAGAGCAGAGGCTCAGCATCCAGCAACCTAGGAGAGAAGGGCTGGAGAGGCCGCTGGGGACTTGACCTTGGCATGTGACCCTCTGGGGCTCAGGGCCACGGCACTCCTGGGCGACGGGAAGTGGGGTTGAGCAGCGGATCGTATCTGGTCACTTCTGTTCTCTCGGAATCAGCAGCAGGGTCTCCAGTGAGGGGGGAGGGTTTGTACAGAGAGAAGGTGTGAAACAATCTCTCAGTAGAACAGATTTGCCAGGAGATGTTTGCTGTGGGAAGAAACGAGTGACCCATTCTCTGTAGAAGGGAAGAGAGGCAGGGAGGCTCTGAGCTCACACAGGGCTTGTGGGTGGGTTACAGGCCCACTACCCCAGGGTTGGTGGGCAGCGCGGACCCAGGACATTTGGCCCTGGGAGCCTTTACCCGCATGTGGGCCAGGAGGCAAGGGCCTGAGTGTTGCCCACCCCCCGCCCCCACACCACCTCCCCGTCCCCGAACTGGCGTGCACAAAGTACCTGCTGATCTACCGTGTGCCATGACTAGTGCAATGATGGTGCAACGGTGACTGTCTAGTCTCGGAACAAAGCTGTCAGCATTAGTGACAATGCCACTGAAATCAGCAGCCAGGCTGCTCTGACCCACCAGTGCCGCGCGCAGGTGGAGTGGGGCTGTATCGGTCACGGACGAGGAGGCTGGGCAGCTCCGCCGGGAACTCCCAAGTCAAGAGAACTTAAAAATAGCTCTATGCACCGTCCTGCCAGCTGACACCCCAGATATTTAAGGCTCATTCTGAAATGATGTCACTTTTCCATTCTTGCGCTCCCAAATTCCCTGACTTCCCCGGCCCTGCTTCTCCGAGCGCCTTTCTCAGAGGAATGAAGGCCTTCTCCAGGTGATGTCTGCCTGCGCTACACAGGGCCCGAAGACCACGGGGGCCACGGCAGGGGCAGTGCTGGCAGCTGCCGGTCTGCGCGCTGGCTCTCCCCACTTCTGAGCGGGCGTGCTTTCTGCCAAAGCACCACGACAGGAGGGGACAGCTGCAGTGCTCCCTGCCCCCTCCCCCGGAGCTATAAAAAGCCCCAACACCCAAGTGAGCAGAGGACACGCCGAGCAGAAGTGCAGAACTTTGCTGGACACGAGGAGCTCGGCTCAACGGCCATGCTGAGGTTAGCCTCCGCCAGCAGGCTGCTGCCAGCCCCCCGGAGCGGCTGGGTGCTTCCCAAGGCACACGTCTCCGCCAAGCCAGCCAGAACACCCACTTCTCCCATGGTAAGAACCCCCAGGGCAGCAGGGGGGCTGACCCGAGCAGGTGGAGTGGGCAGTCCTGCGCTGTTGTGAAGATGAGATAGGTTTGGGGGCAGGGCACAGAAGGCCAGGCTGGTAAAGGAGAGGGGGAATGTCCTCTCAGGGGTGCGGCTTCTGGAGGTGATCCTGGTGCTAGAACTCAGTCCGTGTCTGGGACAGTGTCCCCACTCCAGGAAGGGTCCTTGCGGTCACTACCTGAAGGCCAGGCTCCCAAAGCAGTCAGCGGAGTTAGGGGAGGGTTTGTTCTCAGGCCCCGACTCGCCTCCTGTCAAATGAGGGGTGCTAACCGCTGAGCTTGAAGGGCGCTCGGTGTCTACTCTGGCTCCACCGCTACTGAAGGGGAAGAGTGGGCTGCCTGAGGCCCACACAGGAAGCACACAGGGGAAACATGCACCCCAGTCACCCTGGGGCTGCAGGAGAGCAGACAACGACCTGTTTTCAGCGTCAATAAACCAAGGTCTAGAAGGTCATCTGCCCAAGGTCAGACCGTAGGTGTAGCCTAAGGGCCCAGCTCTGGGCTAGCGTCGCTGAGGCTGCTGGGAGGTGAAGCCAAGAGGAAGAGTCCAGCCCGGCATCTGACTCTGTTTTAGGAACAGGGAGCGATGACTGGGCCCAGGCTCTCCTTCCGGAGGAAACCAAGTGAAGGGGACATATGGCTGGTTCTCCAGAACCTGGCTCCAGGTGTGCGTGCACACACCTGCACACAGAGCGCAAGGGGTCCCCTCTCCTCCATCCAGGCTTCTAAGCAGGACCACCATTTAGGGAAAAGGGCCCTGCAGTTGTTTACACAACCCGAACCTCTTCCATCCTGCACAGCACCGGACACACTCTTGTCTCCTGGTAACTGGAAGTGAGGGTGCTTGTCACGCAAGGTCAGAAGTTCAAGGTCAAGGGACACATGGCCTGGCCAGGCAGGCTCTTGGTGGGGGGGGAAGGGGGCTAAGATGAGAGGTCCCACTCCACAGAGACTGGAGCCCAGGGCTGCTAGCCTGGTCTCCGCAGCAGCTGTCCAAACTGATGACTACAGTGGTCACTGCTGGCACCCCGCAGGCTTTTTCCATCTGACGCACAGGAAGTCTGGGGCTGGGCCAAGGGTCCCACCGGAGCAGAGGGGGCGGGGCAGGATGCCTGTAACTCTGGACCTGCTGCTCTGGTTAGGACCCGGGCACAGAGGGGCAGGTAATGGCCTTCCTCGATGACCTGGGAACGACCCTGGTAACGGCCCAGTGCACTCACCCGTGCTTCCCTCACCCAGGAGCAAGCCATCGGGCTCTCGGTGATGTTCCTCAGCTTCCTGATTCCTGCAGGCTGGGTCTTACACCACCTGGAGAGCTACAAGAGAAGCTCGGCAGCATGAAGGCTCTGTGGTTCCAGCTCCAGGCACAGGATGAAAGATCGCATTAAACCCTTCCCTTCACCTAGTGGTCACTGGTGGTTCTTCTTTGTGTACGAGCATCCCCGCCCCCCGCACACTCAGCACGGGGCTGAGGGCTGGCTGGGTGGGCATCGGGTGAACACCATGTCTGAGCCACAGCAGACAGGACTTGCTCTCTTGGCCACGGGGCCCACGGCCTTCTGCACCTGGCTCTGCCCTGTGCCCTGTGTGTGCAGAGACGCCCCTTGCCCAGGGCAGGAGTGGGGGGCCGAGGCCCACTCCCCACCGAGCCCTATCTCCCATCTCCCGCATTTTAATCTCTCCAGGCCCAGGCTTGACATCAAAGCTAAGACCGAGGAAAAGAGAACCACAAAAAGGACAAAACAAGTGCGTTTATTACAGGAACATTCTCAAACGACACCAGAGATATTCACACAGGTGGATGGGATGGAGACGAACTTCTGAGTGGTGTCCCCACGCACTCAGGGTGGCGCCTTCTCGCTCCTCGGGGCACGTGCACGCTCGCGCCTGCCTGGTCACCAGAGACTGGTGACCCCTCCCCACTGCGGGCTACAGGAGACCTCCACAAAAGAGGCTTCCATCTGTGGCCGCGCACCCCATCGGTGACAGTCCCGTTCTCACAGCAGGAAGAACGGTTCCCGTTCCACAAACACAACCCCACCCCCCACCCCCATTAAATGCAGATGGCCTCAGCTGCCACACACGGGCCAGGTGGGGGCGCTAGGTGAGGATGTCGTGGGCCTGGTGCTCCACCAGCATCTCCATGCTCCTGACGTCGGTGCACCAGAACTCCAGGCGGTCCTTCATGCCCGCGATCTGAGGCAAACCAGGACCACACAGTGTTAGGACACTTGGGAATCACAGCACCCGACGGGGCGGCTGTACATTTCCAGCCAATTCTTTAGGGCAGCACTAATAAACAGGGCATCGGAGCTGGGGGAGTGGGCTACGTGAGACGGGCTTATCCCAGTCAATTCTTATCACCAGGACATTAAAAAAAACTTGCATGAAAGAAAACAGGCAAGAATAGAGGAAATCCACAGGATTAAATTTAAAGCAAATACGAACAAGATGGATCTGAGCTCAAACCACAGAACTAGGAACGCATTTGATCAGAGCACCAATTTGAAGATTAAAAGGCAGCATCAGCACAACCAGCCCTGTTATTACGATAAGCTTTTAAGTGCAGGGTTCAAACCCCAGGCTTGCACTAAATTCGGTTCTTTGAAAAACCCTCAGTCCCTACAGCAGTAAGATATTCTCTGAAATCCCTTTGTCAATACCGCTTTCTTCCTAAATGGCTGCCATCCAAGCGAAACTAAGACAGCACAGACACAATCCAAAACACCCACAAAGGTGAACTATGTGTTCCAGTCACATTACCTGTTGCAAATCCAACACGCGGGGCTGCACCCAGGTCATGTGAACCCGCTTATCCACTTCATCAATACTGCCTTTCACCAGCCCCACTGAGAGCGCCTTCATCACCAGCAACTCCACCTGTGCAGAGAGGGGCTCGTGTAAGACACCCCAAGGCCTGCGAGTACACACCAGCCGGCCCTGAAATATGGGGGAACAAGACACTGTCTTTTGTGGTCTGGAGTCTAGGGAGCCGTGCTCACAGGAGCCCTGACCCGTCCAGGTAGCAGCTGTACCACTGGACCATCCAGAGTCCAACAACCTGTACCTCGTTCACGGTGATTTTAGCACTTTTGGCAATTTCTTCAAAAGTGAGTTGTCTGTGATTGGCAGGTCGTGTGAAAGTCATCTGAAAAAAAATTTTTGCTTGTTAACTACTTTTCCAAATAGAAATTGTCAGAGAACTGACTGATAGGAACGTTTTTGTCAATACTTGCTCTGAAAACCTAGATCTTATTAGTGAACCACACACTAAACTCTTCCTTTATGTTAGTCGTGTATCTCATTAAGAACACGCTTTCCACACTTAGCTTACGGCAGTCGTTCACACAGCGAGCGGTTCCTGGGTGCCTGCTTACCTCCATGAGGCACAGCAGCTGAATTTTCCTCAGAAGCTGGGCTTCATTGGCTGCCAAGTCAGGCTGTAAAGTAGAAAGCATCAGTTACCCAACCTGGGCTTTGAAATTCTACAACAGAGCGAACACAAAGAATCTTTTCAGGTCCAAACACCTCACGCTGAAGATCACGGAGGCTCACTTTTCTTAGGAAACCATTAGAAGGTGCACCCCGGAAATGTCATGCTCCCACACAAGGCATTTACGAGGTTTACAGACACCAGGGGGCACCTGGTTTACAGACACCAGGTGACTTGGCACAAAGAAAGGCAGGGAAGGACCCATCCTGTGCCTGAGCAGGTCCAAGTGTACTGCCTGCTCCGTCAGCTCTGCGTAAGGGGAGCCTCTGAGGAACACACTCCTTACGCTCCAGGGGCTTGTTCTGAACTGAAAGAGCAGGTTATTAATTTATAATGAAAACCGGCCTTATCATGACAACCATGCCCTCTGCGTGACCTGTAGTCACCCTACAGGTAGGTCACAGGTCACTGCTGAGCACAGAGACAAGAAAGGAGAAGGGGTTACCGGATTCAAACATTTAGGAACTCACACCCCAACACAGGCAGAGCCAGCAGGGAACTGGACAGGTCAGGCTCTTCAGAAAGAGCCCACTCGCCCCAGATGGGCTCTTGCTGCCTAGACAGGTGCCGCAGGCACACGGCTCTAGTTTTCTTAACTTTCTACGGCTAGCCATCTTTCTTTCCAAGCGGCACAATTTTTTCTTTCAGAGATCAAAATGCAGACTACAGTTAGGATCGACTGGACTTGCTTTCTGCCTCTTCACAGTCCGTTTGTATCTACTCGGCTCTGTTACGTGTGAATTCGACAAGTTTATTTTGAACTTTGAGAAAACCGAAGCTTTAGAAAAGTACAAAACAGTAATACAACCATGATCCCTATCACTACGAACATTTTAGTAATTTTGCTTCTCACGGTTTCATTTGAAAAAGAATAAACTTACTATTAAAGCTCAGGTCCTTGTTAAACACCTCTCCTCCCTAACTCACACCTAACTCACACCTCCCAGAGGCTCCACTCCTTGCCCGGCGCCCTCTCCCCTGCTACCTCTTTTCCTCTGCATCGACTGCCCCGCCATCCCCTGCACTGAGCCCTTCCTCCCATCAACTGCTTCTGCCCTGCGCAGTCCGTCCTGCCTTCCCTCACCCTGGGCTCTGCCCGACTCTCATCATTCACTCACTTGAGCCTCACATACCCTACTGCAATTCGGCAACATGCTAAAAGCTTCCTTTTCCTCTGCTGAATATACTCTTCTCATATTCTTCCCTTGGCTAAATTCCACTCACACCTAAGGTCAGACACAGAGCATGGCTTCTTTGGGGCAGTCCTCTGTGATAGCCCTTTCGCCCAGATGACACTCCCCTATTCTATCAGAGTAGCTGAGTTACTGCTCTAACTAGCCACTTAACCACCTGCTCTATGAGAGCAAGACTGGCTCGTCTTAGTCTCCTGTCTCCCCAGCGGCTGGCGCGTAGAAGGTGCAAGTCAACATCTGTTAAATAAACAGACGCAAGGAAGGAGAGCCAGGAGCATGTAGGAGTGCTCAGCCGTCCTTCCCATGGCTGACCTGCTGGCCCCAGGAGGTCTTCAGGGTCTGGAATCTCTCTACGTTGCCACTGTTAAAGGCATAAAGGGTGTCAATCAGCCACTGGCGGTCGGTGTTCCTCAGTGATTCCAGCACGGGGTGCATGAGCTGTGAGGACGAGACAGTTAGCTGGCAAAGAAATCAGTCTCCCCCTTGTTAAGAAATCTGTGACCAGGGTCCACTTACGAGTTCTCCAAAGTTAAAAACTCCCTCGCCAAGAAGTCCTGCTAGTCCCAGCGTGAAAGCTCTCTCCTGCTGCTCAGACACTACGGCAACAACACATCTCCAGTGACACCCCAGTTACAAGAATCAGTCCTGCTTGGCTTTAAAACTCTCATAAAAAAGAAACCATTCCCTGTAATGGTTATATCACAAAGCCTTAACGTTAGTCGTCTCTTTTAAAGTACCATATCAGCTCAAGTTATACCTGGAACCGCATACACAGGTTTTGTGGGAAAGACATTCGTTCACTTATTTCTACCTAAATAAGTGAATCGATTTACATTTTCAGCTCATCTACTTCCTGGAGTAGCAGGTTGCTTATACCTCTTGTTTCCTATGGAAGTGATACCTCTCATTTATCTTAAAGTCCCCTCATTCAGCCTCTTTTCAGACTACAGTCTTCCTTTCCCATACAACAACTCCTTATTCTCTTGACCACATTAGCTGTGCTTTCCAATATATTTTTCTTGAGCTGCAGGAACTGCATCTAAAAACTGCACTAACATCTTTAGGCGTCGCTGGTCTCCACAGCTTCAGTGGTGTACTGTGAGAAACACCCAAGAGGCTCAAATTTCTTCTTTAAACACATACTCCTCGCACTTTCCCCAAAACTCATTGTTCATTTTGCTTTGCAAGTGATTTTCGTAAGTAAGTTATTCCCCTGGGTCTTGTGCGGTTTTTGGAACACGACTCTCAGGTACAGGGTGGCGGCGCGCCCTTCGTGCTGTAGGGGTCGAGGGACTTGCATCGCTGCACTTCTCACCAAGGCCTCTGACTCAGAGAGCCGGGAAGACTGGGGAAGGGACGGTGAAGGGCTATAGGGTGCAGGCTCGTCTCAACTCAACGCTGAAGGCAGACACCTGTAAAAACTAACGCTCTCATGGCTCTTTCCAGCCTATCACCACGTGGGCTTTCCTCAACAAGGGATAGATACACTGGAGGAATTTCTGAGGCCTGCTACCACGCCCCGAGAGTGAGCTCTCACGACACGGACTCTAACGGCCCCATGTTACCTGGAAGATCCTTGATGTCGACACAGCCTAGAAACCGCAGAGCATCTTTGTAGTAGGATGCGTGGTTTCCGATTGTTTGATAGTATTTACTAGAGAGATCGTAGAAACGACTGTGAACTGATGTCACGCCAGGGAGGTTGTTGAGCATCTCTTCAACGTCTTCAATTGTCTCCTACGTGCAGGAAACAAGATCACCTTTCTTTGTAACTTAAGACATTTTTAAAGAAATGTATGATGAGATGAAAAGCATAAGCCACAAAGATCGATTGGAGTACATTAAAATGGAAAACTTCAGTTCACCTAAAACACAGAAAAAAGAACAAAGACAAGCTATAGACTGGGAAAAGATATTTACTGCACGCGAAACCCACGAGGGCATATGGCCAAAGTTATATAAAGAACTCTTATGAAACAACAAGTGGCAAGCAACACAGAAAAAATGAGCAAAAGAAAAGATGTTAATGGCAATTTACAGAAGTGGAGACATGAATGGAGTGGTCAATAAACTACCAGCAATCAAGAAATGCAAATTAAACCCCCAATGAGATGGCATTTCACCTCCATCAGATCGCCAAGAATTAAGTGGTCTGAAAATACCAAGTGTCGAAGATACGGAGCTCTGCGAGTGCTCGTACGGTGCTAGGGGAGTACGAGCATCTTGGAGAAAAGTTTGGCAACATCTAGTAAAAGTGGAGGGTATACGCCTTATACCTGTAGCCTCACCTCCAGGCGTACGTCCCGGTGAGATTCTGCCCATGTACACAAGGAACCAGGCATAGAAATGCTGATAATTAACATCACTATTCGCAGTAGAAAAGAGAACCTTGAATCCCTTCCATAGGAAGGAGACTGGATACGCAGGCTATGAGACAGTTACACAGTGAGATACCAAACAGTAAAAACGAACTGGTCCCAGGCACCAACACGATGACTCAAGCCTCACACTGAGCCACCAACTGAAAACAATACTACACATCACTTAGACCTGCACATCCCCATCTAGTGAGCATTAGGAAACACACAAGTACGAGGAACACCAAGCACGCGTGCGGGAGCACTGCTGGTGCAGGAGCGTGCACGGGGGCCCGGCAGCTCCATTCCCAGGTTGCTTCGCTCCCTGGCTGGGCAGGGCACGTGGATGCCCACGACAGCATT